CTGCGAACTGGTTTAATTTGGGCAAAAAATTCAAGAGACATTTTTTTTTAGAATGAAACAGGCTATCGGAAATAAATTTTTAAATGGTAAAAAAATAATAAGACAAAAAATTACGTTGGAAATAAATTTTAGGGGTTGCGTTTTCCACCCCTTACAACCATGGGGTAAACCAAATAAATTACTGGCTAAGTGTCTTTTTGGTAGTAGAAAATGTCAGGTTAATTTCAATATTGTAACTTGTTTAGTGCTTATGAAAAAAATTGTTAAACAAATTTTATGTACCCCCTTTAAGGGGCTGTATCTTAACAAGGGATGCTCCAATGAAGTTTCTTTATATGAAAGATCCTACCTTTTTTTCGATGAGGAATCACCCCCTTAAATGTTTTACACTTATTTAGTTACAGCCTGTATGTGATTAAATTTTCAAGTATCTAAGGGCCTTGGTTTTTGCTGTGCAAAATTTTGAAAATTTGCAAAATTTCTTTCAAAATCTGGATTGCAAAATTATGATGTAAAATCTATCTAACCGATTTTGATGAAATTTTGTGTGATGGTTCTCTACATAACATAAATTTTTCTTGAGCCAAGTATGAAGATCCTATACCCAACTTAAAGACCCCAAAAAAAATCCCTAAAAAATAATGTTTTTAACCCAATTTTTGGCGATCTTTTCGATTTTGGGTACATTCGATTTGTAACTAGTCGCATTTTGTAAAAAATTTAATTACAAACATTTTTTTCCTATTCCATTTTCGCCTAGAATCAACTCTTGAAAATATACATAATTAAATAGGAAGAAAAATATGACATTTTTCGAATTTTTTTAACAAATTGTGCCGCCAAAAGTTAAGCCCACGTTTTTTTTTATGCGCATAGAAACATTTTCATTCCTAGTGATATTTGAAAGCCAAAAAGCCAACATTTTCCGTGGATATACGTTTCACCCAAACCAAAACAGATACCGCCTAGTCTATAAATCCTTGTCACAACCTAAGCGACTCAACATTAAAATATTCTGATAATGCTGGGTGGGAAAATTGGAAAATTTTGATAAAACAAGCAGATTGCTAGAAATTTGCCTTTTTAATATTTATTGTTGTTAATATTGTTCAAGTATCCCAGAGACATTTAAATATAACAAAGCACACTGCTTGCTGTCAACTATTACCAATTAATCCAGTGTCTAAAGTCCACTCCACCACTGAATAATAGTTTTCATTTACAAGTTGCATTCGGTAGAGGAACATGTATGCCAGCAAAACTTATAAAGTAGCGGAGGAATTATAAGCTAATGAAGAATACTGATTTGCCTCAAGAAGAAAATACTCAATTTGGTAGAGAATTATTCAATCAAGATCACGTGCAAATACTAAACAAGTCCGTACATCAAGTTGGACGGGACTTTATTTAGACGTGGTTAGAGATTAGTAGGTTGCTCTTTGCCAATATGTACAAGGTAATACTTTAATCTAGTATGTTTGTTATGTAAAATGTATTTCTATGACATAGCACAGCACAATTATGTTCCAAAAATCCCGTAATGAAAAATAAGTTGTTTACTGCAAATTTATAACTCTGTTAGTATTTTTCCCAGTCATTACCAAGGTGGTATAAAAATTTTAGACGAACGTGTCGACAATTATGAAGAGAATATCAATGTGCTACTGGTATGTTTTTTTTTAATAATCACATTGTTTTAAGACACATTAAATGTGAAACAACGCCCTAGGGAGCTATAAATACGTTCATCTGCTCCCACTATAGTAAATAGATTGTTTTCAAGGAGGTAAGATGGATTTTGCCGTAGAAGTGGAAGTTGCTATGGACAACAGGAGGTAAGTGAGGTAACTTACCTCCATAGGAAAAAAAGTGATTTCGACTTATAAATGCATATTAAATAGAAATATTTGATAAACATTACATTTTATTAATTATTGTGAATGAATATTTATAGTAATTGTACAGATATTACATTTAGTAACATTTATAAAATGTAGATAATTATTCCCTTGCGTTTACTAATACTCACATTTTTCTCAAAATGATTTGACCGCTCCATTTCAGTCAACGGAGGCTCAATATTTATCTGACTTATCCATTAAAACAGAATAATGCGACGTACTACTAGAACCTGGAGTTGAAGTGTCATTGTAAAGAATCCTGTTGGCTATTTCATTTTTGTTACTTACACTGTCAGCAACGTAACTTTCTGCAATTGTGGCTGATTTGATTGCTAATACATCAACTCCTGTATTAGCCAGTAACGTTGCCGATGTTCTTCGGAATGAATGGCCTGTATATATTTCAGGATATCCTAGTTTGAAAAACTGTTGCAGCAATCTTATTAGGAATCATAGAAAGGGTATTCTTGCCGACAGGTAGGTTGTAATATCTATCTGCTTGAAAGCGCATAAAAAGTTTTAAATTTCAGTTTTAATTTCCAATCTAATCTTGATATATTTCTTGAGAAATTCTACGTGAGATACAGAACCTAAACGAGAAGTAATTGTAAACGTACGTGACATACCATTTTTAGAATCTGGAATTGTAACTGCAATAATGTAATCGAAATTTTTGAAACTGACGTTGTCCAAAGTAAGTTTGCATAACTCATCAGAACGGCATGCTCTTGCAATGCCTAAGATTGTCACTCCTTCATTAGCAAATACGTGTTATCGGGTGCCTGAACGAGAAAATCGTTGACTTGTTTTCTTGTAAAAACGTTTGACTTTTTAGGTGTATAGCCATCATTCATACAGTTCAAAAATGCTCTCAGCTTGGGGTACTTTGATATACAAACA